GTGAAAGGAATTGTTTCCCTAATTTCTCTCTCAGTGAGTCTGTTATTTGTGTACAAGAAGGCTATTTATTGATTTTTGGGTGTTGACCTTGTATCTTGCTCCTCTGCTAAAAGTGTCAATTAAGCTTAGAAGTCTTTTGGTGGAGTTTTTTGGGTTTTCAATGTAGAGTATCATATCGTCAGCAAATAATGACAGTTTAACTTCTTCCTTTTCTACCTTTATTGCTTTAATTTCTTTCTCTTGTCTAGTTGCTATGCCTAATTTTTCCCAAACTATATCAAAGAGGAGTGGTGATAGCAGGCATCCTTGTCTTGCTCCTGATTTTAAGGTGAAGGCTTTCAGTTTTTGGCCACTTAATATGATGTTGGCTGTTGGTTTTTCATAGGTAGCCTTTATTAAGTTGAGATATAGACCATCTATTCCAATTTTTTGAGGGTTTTTATCATGAATGGGTATTAAATTCTGTCGAATGCTTTTTCTGCATCTATTGAGAGGATCATGTTGTTTTTGTCCTTGACTTTTTAAATATAGTGTATTACATTTTTTGACTTACATATGTTGAACCATCCTTGCATCCCTGGAATAAATGTCACCTGGTCAGGATGTATGATCTTCTTGATGATCCTCTGTATTCTGTTTGCTAGCATCTCATTAAGGATTTTTGCATCTATATTCATTAAGGAAATTGGCCTGTAATTCTCTCTTTTAGTTGCATCTTTCCCTGGTCTGGGAATCAAAGTGATACTTGCCTTCGAGAATGAATTTGGAAGTGTTGCTTCCCTTTCAATTTCATTGAAAAGTCTGAAGAGTAATGGCAGTAGTTCTTCTCTGAATGTCTTGTAAAATTTCGCAGTGAATCCATCAGGACCTGGGCTATTTTTTGTTTGTAAATTTTTAGTTACATTTTCAATTTCACTGATTATAATTGGGGTGTTTAAAATGTTTTCATCTTCTTTGTTCAATTTTGGTAATTCATAAGTATCTAGAGAGCTGTCCATTTCTTTTGCGTTTTCCATTTTATTAGAGTATAGGTTCTCAATGTAGGTATTAATGATCCTCTGGATTTATGTTGGATCTGTTATGTCTTTGCCTTTTTCATTCCTGACTGCATGGATCTGTGCCTTTTCTTTCCTTTTTTTTTGATAAGTTTTGCTAAGGGTTTATCAATTTTATTTATTCTTTCAAAAAACCAACTCTTTGATTCATATATTTTTGTATCATTTTCTTAGTTTCCATTGCATTGATTTCTGCTCTAATCTTTATAATTTCCTCTCTTGTTCAAACTTTGGGTTTTTCTTGCTCTTGTTTTTCTAGTATTCTATGATTCATCATTAGGTTGTTTATTGGAGCTCTCTCTGTTTTCCTTGTGTGGGCATTCAGTGCTATGAATTTTTGCTGTAGAACTGCTTTCATTGTGTCCCATAGATTCCTGTATGTTGTATTGGCATTTTCCTTTATTTGTAAAAACTGTCTAGTTTCTTCTTTAATTTCCTCTGTGATCCATTTATTGTTCAGGAGAGTGTTGTTCAATTTCCATGTGTTTGTGAAGTTCCTACATTTTCTTATGCTATTGATCTCCAACTTGATTGCACTGTGATCTGATAATATACAGGGGATAACTTCGATTTTTTTGCATTTATTCAGACCTATTCTTGAACTTGTATGTGGTCTATCTTGGAGAATGACCCATATGCAGCTAAAAAGAATGTATATTCTGATTTTGTGGGGTGGAACACTCTTATAGATATCTATTAAGTCCATGCGCTCAAAAGCTTGGTTCAGTTCTAGTATTTCATTGTTATATTCTGCCTAGATGATCTGCCTGTTTGTGATAGAGGGGTATTTAGATCCCCCACTACAATTGTACTGTACAATTGCATTATAAGTACAAGTGCTTATTTGGTTTTTCATGTTACTTAGTATTTGTTTTATATAGTTGGGGACATTAATATTTGGTGCATATATGTTTATGATTGTCATCTCTTCCTCTTGAATTGTTCCCCTTACAAGGATGTAGTGGACTTCTTTGTCTCTCTTCATGCATTTTGGTTTGAAATTTACTTTGTCTGTGAATAAGATTGCTACCCCTGCTTTTTTCTGGGCTCCTGTCATGTGGAGAATTGTTTTCTATACTTTCCCTTTCAGTCTATGGGCTTCCTTTTGCACTAGGTGTGTTTCTTGTATACTACATATTGTTGGATTTTGCTTCTTAATCCATTCTGCTGGTGTATTTCTCTTGATTGGTGAATTGAGGCCATTGACGTTGATGGTTATAACTGATATGTACTGACTTATTATTGTCATGTTATTGTCCTTTTGTTGACTCTTCTTACTTTTCCCCCTCTCCTTTTAGTTTCTTGCCTTGCCTATTTGATTTGGTCTGTTGGGTCTCACAATGTTGTGATCTTCATTGTCTTTTTCTAGGATATTGTTTAGAATTCCTTGTTTTGCTGGTTTGGTGTTTATGAAATTTCTCAGGTGTTCTTTGTCATGGAAGTATCTTATTTCCCCATCCATTTTGAAAGAGAGCTTTGCAGGATACATGAGTCTAGGTTGGATTTTGTTTTCTTTTAGGGCTTGAAATACCTCACTCTAGGCTCTCCTTGACCTGAGGGTTTGTGTCGAAAAGTCTGCTGTGATTCTGATGGACTTTCCTTTGTATGTGATTTATATCTTTTCTCTTACTGATTGTAGTATTTTGTTCTTCTGTTGGGTTTCTGGGATCTTGATTATTGTATATGTGTAGGTGTAGATTTTTTTTTTTTGATCATGGTTAGTTGCAAGTCCTTTGTGCCTCACTTATCTGTATGTCAAATTCTTCCCCTGTGTTTTGGAAGTTTTCTGTCATTAATTCTGTGAACAGCTTTTTAAAGTCTTTTGTAATTTCTCCTGCTACTTTATGGATTCCTATCAGTCTTATGTTATTCTTCTTTCCATCATCTAGGAGTTGTTGGATTGATTTCTCATGATCCCTTACTGTTTTTAAGAGACCTCCCTTTTCACAGTCACTGACTGAAATCCTATCTTCTATATCTGAAATTGTATCTTTGCAATCTTTTATTCTGTTGCATACACTTTCAATAGAGTTTTTAATCTCCTGGTTATCTGTTTGAATCTGTTTTATGGATTCCATTTCTTTCCTCTGTTGGGCATTCATTTTTTCCATTTCTTTCTTATGCGGGGCCTTCATGGCTTCTACTATGTTCCTGAGCTCATCTATTTTTTTTGTCAGTTTCTGTTCTAGAGTCTCAATTCATGGCTTCCATTTTGCTCACCATCTCTATGGTTATCTCAGAAATTTTTTCTGTTTTGAATTTTTCTAGAGCTGATTGATCTGCTTTGTTACTTCCTGTGCTATGGGTTCAAGATGTCCTGCCAGTTCACTGTAAGACTTTTCATCCTCATTTGCCCTATTTTTTGCCATTAGTGAATTGGAAGTGTGTCTTTGTGTCTTAAGTGTTTTCTCATTTTTATTTTTGTTTTTCAGTTGTCCTTGGTTTTATTTCCAGTTTATTTCTTAGATCTTCCTGATATAATTGTGCTTTACCTTTTGAGTCTCTACTGAGTCATAGCCATTCTCATTTTCATTATATTGGAGAAAACAACTCAGTAAATCAATCACAATCCTTTATCCCAAATGTCACAATCAGCAGCACAATACGATGAAGCAATACTTGCAAAGTGACCACTTGTGGTAGTCATTAATCTATCACCTTTAAACCATGTGAATTCAATTAAAATCCAGAAGCAACCCAAAATATGTTTGAAGTGAATACACTTTTCAATGTAGCATGTTTCCATTTAGGATTGGGGATTAGACAGAGTTAGAATGAGAGTAGATAAGTGAAAGAATTGGAGAAGATTTCAAGTGAAGCCAGAGGGCATAGAATGACCATACAATCTTTGCAAAGCTATTAAATTCAAAAGGGATAGACAGAGTGCCAGAATAAGGACTAGAATATAGCCCCTTAATAGTAATAGGGGCTACTTTCCCTTGAAACTATTGACTCATGAGTGAGGTAAAATGGCAGAAGAAAAGAACATAAAGAAGAAAGAAAAAATGATAAAAGAAGAAGTCTGAGTTAGGGCAGGAGCAAGAACAGAAAGGGAGATGCAGGATAATATGATGGAGCAAGAGACTGATGGAGAAAGAGGACAGAAAAAATAAAGAATTTGCAGAGTGTAATGAGGAAAAGAAAGAAAAAAATGAATTTGAAGGGCCTCTTTCAGACTATATCTCTGCTGTCATAATATACCACATGCACAACCATGTGCAGAACCAAGTCCCTTGATCAGCTAGCCAATGGCAGATCCTCATGAATCAGACTGACCTCAGGCCACAAGGCCTAGATTGAGTTCCCAGAACTGCAGGGTTGAAGTCCATACAGTTCTATTTCAGGTTTGCTCCACCCTTTCTTTAAATATGTTCAAAGTTGGGAGCTCAGAAAAATACCCTTTATGACCACCTATGTCTCTGCAGAGTGAGTCCAAGGACTGGCCTAATCAGGAGGTCTGAGAATGGGGGGAGGGGTGTTTTAGGGGCACCAGCACAGCTACCTTCACCTTCCTCACTGGAGCTGGTGATGCACAGGCAAGGCATCTACTATTATTAACATCATGACCGCCATCATAATTCTTACTGCTATTATTTGTTTGGGCAGCAAAGCAGCATGTATAAAGGCATAGATACAGAAAGCAGTATGGTGTGTTGGGGAAACTGGATGGTAACAGTCATGATGCCCACAGAAAGGGACAGTCAGAGATGGTATTCTCAACTTGAAATTGTATTAGGGTATTGAGTTTTGTTCAACTATATATTATCTGTTTCATCCTACTGAGATGCAAACTCCATGAAGATCTCCATGACTCTGTGTAAATCAGTCTTGGGCAAATCACCTCAGCCCAAGTGTTCACAATACCTACTAGCAAAATAGCGCTTGATAAATATGAATTGAGTGCATAGTGGGTTAAGTGTTTATTCTCCATTCTTTTCCCAAAAGGAGGCATTTTCAATAAAATGGAAAAGATACAAGTATGTTGGATGGAGCTGGATACTACAAACTGACAGGTGGAGAGGCCAAAGGGTATGTGGCATAGCCTTTCTCCTCTGGGTGAGAAAGCACTTTTCTCAGGCCTGCTGCCTGAGTGTGGCTGTGTGACAGCTCATGCTGTGTTCTTCCTTCTGCATTCCTTTCTAAGCCTTGCCCTGCTGGTTCAGAGACACAACAGGGGGAAGTGTTGACTCTGCTCAATTGTGTCCGAGTTGCTGCCAAGGGGATGAGTGAGGAAGAGGCTGTGTCTGGAAGGTAAGCTGGGCAGAAGGAAAAGAGCTGAGAAAGCTTGAGAAATCCTTCTTGGAAGAGCCTCTTTGGGACTGGAGATGACAGGGGCTGGAGGACACAGGGTGGGAGAGAAGGCTCAAAACTTTCTGGCTGTTCTCCAGGAGCCTAGTGGTTCTGAGCCAACTACTCCAAGTTTCTGTAGAAACCCACACACTATTTATTTAAATCCACTGTTTCGCATGTCCTCTGGATTCCTGAAGAAGACAAAAGTGGAAGCAGCACTTGTTGGCTTTCAGGGCTTTATTCTCTATCTTGTGGTGTTCTCTGCAGGTGACCCTTGCCTTTCTTTCCTTCCTTGCTCCTTCACTGACACTGGCAGCCTCATGCCTGTTTGTAACTAGAACCTCCTATGAAAATGCTGCATTCAGATTTCACTGTCCAATGATCATGCTATATTGCACAATTGATAAGACCTCAGAAAAGGTGGTTTCATGAATTTTGTAACAGATGCAGTTATTCAGTGATCATGTAACAGCATGGGGCTATCCAGTGATTTAATTGGGTCTAAAGTGTTGTGACTTCATTGAGAGCAGTTGTTGGACCAAACTGATGCCTAGCTTCCATTTGTGTACTATTTAGTTGCACATGGGTGGCAGAATAAGATTTCTGAAAATTGTTTTTTCATAGAGCAATGTAATTAGTTCTACCTTAAGTACTAAATATTTGCTGCACACTGTTCTTTAATGCATTCTGCATATATGCCCATATTTATTGTTGTCTCATTTGAGGAAACAGAAAATAGAGACACCACAAGTCTAAAAATGACACAATCAGGAAGTAACTGGCAAGAAAAGTTATGTAACCAGGAGCTCAGACTCCGAGTTCATTCAGGTCAGAACCCAAACTCTTGCCACTATTACTTTATTTTTTTATTTTTATTTTTATTTATTTTTTTGGTACTGGGGATCGAACTTGATTCCTTGCACTTGCAAGGCAGGCCACTGAACCACTGAGCTAAATCCCTGGCCCTGCCATTATTACTTTAAATGGAAGCACAGTCATACAACAGGACATACACATATGTAGTCAGGGAATACTGACCAACCTTACTGAAATTGTAAGACCTAACATTGGGCAAAACCCATGAAATACATTTTATCTATTGAGTTTTTAAAAAAATAATCTATTTATTGCTGATAAGTACATATTTATATAACATTGAAAAAAGTGATTAATACAGTATAGGCTGAGAATCCTAAACATAATCATAACTTCGACCAATCAAAGGTTATGACTATAACCTTTATAAAGGTTATATAGGTATATATAGGTATAATTTATAAAGTTTATGATAGATTTCTATCATAAGAAAATAAGCTAAAAATTAACACTCAGAATTGTTTAGAAATTTTTAATTTCAAAAATCTTTTTTAAAATTTGTTTTTTTTTTAAATAAAACAACCCATTAATAAAGAAATTAAGCAACTGTATGATGGCATATTATGGAATACTTAAAATGTGTAAAAGACTTTGTAATAATATTGTATAGGGAATTATTTATAGTGTGACACTGAATGGAAGTGGAATATACAGCAAGATATCAGCTATTTAAAAATCTATAGAAATATAATAAAATACAATTAGTGGCTATTTCTGGGCAGTGGGACTATTTTTAAAGTTTTTATACATATAGTATATATCTGCAATTTGACAGCCCTGTAATGACAGCTCTCAAATGTTTTTGAAAAAATTGCTAGTAAAAGTAAATTCTGTGATTCAAATGTTTTCTCTCTATTCTGAAATTATCCAATATCTTATTTCCAGTGGAAATTTCAGAAGACTAAGAACATTGTTCTGCCTCATACAGCTGGTTGAAGCCAGGTAATCACAATTTATACTCCAAAACCTAGTCAAATCCCAAGGAGATAAGTTTCATTTTCTTAAGGGAAAGGCAAAACAGCCAGGGGCATTTACCATCATGGAGACAAAGGGTCCTAACAATCCTCAGGAGAGACCCATGCCCCCTCACAGTAGAAGGGCTACAATGGAAAACAATTATTCATTAATATATGCTGTTAAGAATAAAGATGTCAATCAGATTGAGCAATTGCTGAAAATAGGGGCCAATGTCAATTTCCAGGAAGAGGAAGGGGGCTGGACACCTTTGCATAATGCCATACAAGGTGGTAGTAAGGATATTGTAGATCTTCTGCTTGATTATGGTGCTGACCCTCATCAGAGGAAGAACAATGGGGCCACCTCCTTCATCATAGCTGGGATTGAGGGAAATGTGGAGCTGCTCAGACTTTTCCTTTCCAAGGGAGCAGATGTCAATGAGTATGATTCTAATGGCTTCACTGCTTTCATGGAAGCTGCTGAGCATGGTAATGTTGAAGCTTTAAAGTTTCTTTATGAGAATGGAGCAAATGTGAATTTGCATCGAGAGACAAAGGATGATCAAAAGCTACTTGGGAAAGGAGGGGGCACAGCTCTCATGGATGCTGCTAAAAGAGGCCACATTGATGTCTTGAGAATTCTCCTGGAAAAGATGAATGCAGAAGTCAATGCCTGTGACAATATGGGTAGAAGTGCCTTGATCCATGGTATTCAGAGCTCTCCTGATGAGAAGGTCAAAGATATTACCTGCCTTCTGCTGGACCATGGGGCTGATGTTTGCTTGAGAGGAGAAAGAGAGAAGACACCCCTGATCTTGGCAGTGGAAAGGAAGCATATTGGTTTGGTGCAGCTGCTCCTGGAACAAAAACATATAGAGATAGATGCAAAAGATGGCAAAGGGAGAACGGCACTGCTGGTTGCTGTTAATCTCAATATGAAGGCGATTGTCAAGTTGCTGTGCAAGAAGGGAGCCAACACAGATTGCGGAGATCTTGTCTGGATGGCAAAGCGTAAACATCATGACAATGACCTTGCAAAACTTCTTTGCTCTTATGGAGCCCGAGACTATTTCCAACCCCCTGATGAAGACTGGAAGCCTCTGAGTTCACGCTGGGGGAAAGACCTGAAAAAACTCTATAGAATGTACCACCGTAACACTGGAAAACTCAAAATCTTTAAGGGTGAAGACTACAAAATTGCCAAAACTTCTAAAGGGGATGTCTACCTGGGGTTCTTTGAGGGGCAAGAAGTAGCTGTGAAGGTATTCCGTGAAGGCAGTGAACATGCAGAAAGGGAAATGGATTGCCTACGACACATCCGAGAGCACAGTAACTTGCTGACATTCTATGGGAGTGAGAGTGATGGGGTATGGTTGTATGTGTGCATAGCCCTCTGCGAAGAGTCTCTGGAAGAGCACTTGGATAAGCATAGAAGAGATTACATGGAGGATGAGGAGGATACATTTGCCCGAAATGTCCTAGCATCTATATTTAAGGCTGTTCAAGAACTACACTTGCATGAATATATTCACCAGGATTTGCAGCCAGGAAACATCTTAATAGGTGAGTTCCTTAGCTTTTCTATTGTTATGGTAGGCATGGTAATTATGACTAGGCAATCTTGTTAACAAAACAAAACAAAGCAGATTTCTTTCTTACCATTCTGGAAGCTAGAAAGTCCAAGGTCAAGGTCCTGGCATCTGGACCTTCTTACTGTGACATGCTATGGCAGAAGGCAGAAAGACACGAGGGCACAAAAGAGCAAGAGGCAGCCAAATTTGCTTTTATAAAAAACCCACTGTCAGGATAACGAAACCACTCATTTGATAATGGCATTTCCCAATCATTAAGGCAGATTCCTCCTGACTGAATCTGCCATTAAAAGTCCTGCCTCTCAACATCAGCCATAAACTATAAAATTCCCTAGAAGATAACATAGGAAAAAATCTAGAGGCCCTTGGGCACAATCTATGAAAAAAAATCATTAAATAAGAATAATTGGCTTCATTAAAAATTTCTGCTCTGCAAAAGACAAGGCCAAGAGAGTGGAAAGGCAAGGCACAGTGTGGGAAAAGAATATTTGCAAAAGACATATCAAATAAATGATTGTTAACTTGAATATACAAAGAACTCTTAAAACAATAATAAGAAAATAGAATCTGATTTTAAAGTGGACGAAAGACATCAGGGGACTGAGGTGAGGCTCCTGGGTAGCAGGGTGGGAGAAGGTTTCTTGACTATCTGGGATTTAATTGCAGAAATTACATCTAAATATTTCAAAATTTTTAGAGCCCATTAACAATATCTATTAAATCTAACAGTAAAAAATTGAATTTTTTTTAAGCATACAAATTGCATATTAGCAGAGCACTGGAGCATTCCATTTAGGTATCTTAAGATTTAAGTGGCTTAAACTAATGAAAGAAAGTTGTTTGAATAATTGGAGACCAGCCCTGGTTGCAGGCAACTTTGTGACCTCATTCCTGTCCCCAGACACTCCACTGAGTTAGAATTCTTTGTTCCTTTCAGCTCAGAAATTCCTACCTGAAATTCTTTCTCCCCCTCCCTTTACTTTCTTTCCCAAAATTTAGCTTTTCAGTCTAAATATTTCTTCCTTAAGGGTGACCTTTCCCCTCTCAGCTAATCATGTAGCTCTCTTATAACACACTAACACAGCATTTTGCACTTTTGCTAGCATTTCCAAAGTTGCAATTATTTTCACATTGATTTATGTAATTATTCATTCATTATTCCTGAGCTAGGTTCACTCATAGTTCTGTCTCTCAATAAACAGTTGCCAAATAATTTAATGGGTTAATTTTTGCTAGTCTCTGAGTTCTTACATAACTTTAATGTTTATATTTGGAATTAGAGGGGTTCCAGATACACCCAACTGCACTGGGCCTGATCCTATTTGGGTTATCCAGTCTTTCTTCTTCTAAGAATCCTTTGAGCCAGAAATGGGGGACCATCTCTCAAAGGCTCCATTCATCTAGGTTTTGGTCTTTCATATCCACTCATTCGTCTTTCTGTGAGCTGTGTGGCTTATTTCAAGGGAAAAAGAATGTGAAGGGGACAAGGAAGGAGTGACTCATTATAAGGACATAACTGATGCATGATAACAGTCCAAAATGTCACAGTGGGTGTGACTCATCAGCTTCACTTAGTGGAATGCTGTGAAAATATTATCTTGAATTTAGAACCTTATTGGTTAACTACTGTATAGAATGTAAGCTTAACTCCTGTCAGGAGCTCCTTTGAAAATCTGTGCTATTTACCTCAGGAACTGCATGAATGAGGAGCTGATTAAATTTATCCTAATCCTTTCTTACTCTCTGGTCTGGAAAAAGTAAAATTTATGTCCTCATCTTGGTAGATACTTCACAGACAAAATGAAACTGTGCATATGACAAATTTTTGGGAGTCAATGGTATTATTATTTACTCTCATCAGAGATTATGGATTGTATAACATGCTACATACCTATTGAGGTTTACAACATGGACAGTGGAAATTTCCCATGCCACTCTGTAAACTATCCTTTAGATTCAAAGAAAGCTGTTCTCCTGGCAGATTTTGATCAGAGCATCAAGTGGACTGGAGATCCCCAGGAAATCAAGAGTGATCTAGAGGTAATGTCTACAGTCCTATTTATTTAATTTCTTTTTATTGAATTTATTGGTACATTTTAGGTATACAGTACATTTACTTTCATTATTGGGATCTTGAGATCATGAGAGGTCTTGGTTCTCATTTCTTCCCCTTGTCCCTGCCCTCCCTTCACCCCTTCTTCCCTTCCCCATTTACAAACACTTTATTTCCATTTTTTCATTTTCTCATATTTTTTTCTTTTCCCTTATTCCCTTTCCCCTACCCTTCCAACTTTCCCTACATCTTTAGCCCTTTTCTTCACATTTCACATTGGTAATTATCTTATTAGGATCTTATGTACTGTTATAGTTTTTCACACCAGAGAAACTACTCGGTATTTACAAATGTGTGACTTATTTATTTCACTTAGGAGTATATCCTCAAAATGTATCTGTTTTCCTATGAATGAATCTAATTCAAATTCTTTATGGGTGAGTAGTATTCCATTTTATAGTAAAACCACATCTTCTTTATCCACTTTCCAACTGATGGGCAAATGGGCTGTTTCCAAATTTTAGCTATTGCAAATTGTGCTGCTATAAACATAGGTGTGCATATGGCACTGTGATATGATTCTTTTAATTCTTTTGTAAAGATAACCAGCAGAGGAATGGCTGGGTCAAGTGGAACATCTAGTTCCAGATCTTTGAGATATCTTCATATTGATTTCCATAGTGGTTGCACCAGTCTGCACTCCCACCAACAATGAAGAAGGGTTTCTTTCTCCCCACAACCCTGCCAGCATTTGTTATTTGATTTCTTGATAGCAGCCATTCTTTGTGGGGTGAGGTGGAATCTCAGTGTTGTTTTCATCTGCATCTCTCAAATAACCAGTGATGTGGAACATTTTTTCATGTATTTACTTGTTGCTTTTACTTCTTTGTCTGAGAAATGTCTGTTCATTTCAGATGCCCATTTTTGAATTGGTCTTTACATTTGGTGGGGGTCTGATTGTTTTGAATTCTTTATATATTCTACAGAATAGGCCTTTGTCTGAGGAGCAGCTGATAAACATTTTTTCCCACATTGCAGGTTGTCTCTTAGTTCTGTTGATGGTTTCTTTTGCAGTGCAGAAGGTTTTTTAATGAGATCCCAGTTGTTTATTCTTTCTGCTACTTCCCGTGCTACTGAAGATTTGTTCATAAAGTCTTTTCCTATGCCAATGACTTCTAGAGTTCTGCCTAATTTATCTTCCAGAAAGTTTAGTGCTTCTGTTTTAAAATTTAGATCTTTAATCCAATTGAATTTTAATTTAGTGCATGGTGAGAGATAAGGATCCTGTTTTAATCTTTGGCAGGTTGAGATTCAGTTTTTCCAGCACCATTTATTAAAGAGGCTATTTTTCCTCCACTGAGGATGTTCAGCTCCTTTGTCAAAGATGATGTAGCTGAGTATATCTGGAGTTGTTTTTGTGTCTTCCAATCTGTTCCACTGATCCTCAGGTCTGTTTCTTTGCTAGTACCATGCTGCTTTTATCACAGTGGCTTTGTAGTAAAGTTTCAAATTGGGAATTGTTATGCCCGCTGCCATGTGTCTGTTGCCTAGGATAGCTTTTGCTATTCTAGACCTCTTATGGTTCCAAATGAATTTTTGGATTCTTCTTTCTAGTTCTGTGAAGCATAGTGTTGGAATTTCAATTGGCATTGCATTGAATATGTATAGCAGTTTTGGTAGTATGGCCTTTTTCACTATGTTGATTCTTCCAACCCAGGAGCAGGGGATATCTTTCCATTTTCTTATATCCTCTTCAGTCTCTTTTTTCAGAGTGCTGTAGTTTTCAGTGTAGAGGTCTTTTGCTTCTTTTGTTATGTTGATTCCTAGATACTTCCTTTTTTTGGATGCTATTGTGAAAGGAATTGTTTCCCTAATTTCTCTCTCAGTGAGTCTGTTATTTGTGTACAAGAAGGCTATTGATTTTTGGGTGTTGACCTTGTATCTTGCTTCTCTGCTAAAAGTGTCAATTAAGCTTAGAAGTCTTTTGGTGGAGTTTTTTGGGTTTTCAATGTAGAGTATCATATCGTCAGCAAATAATGACAGTTTAACTTCTTCCTTTTCTACCTTTATTGCTTTAATTTCTTTCTCTTGTCTAGTTGCCATGCCTAATTTTTCCCAAACTATATCAAAGAAGAGTGGTGATAGCAGGCATCCTTGTCTTGCTCCTGATTTTAAGGTGAAGGCTTTCAGTTTTTGGCCACTTAATATGATGTTGGCTGTTGGTTTTTCATAGGTAGCCTTTATTAAGTTGAGATATAGACCATCTATTCCAATTTTTTGAGGGTTTTTATCATGAATGGGTGTTAAATTCTGTCAAATGCTTTTTCTGCATCTATTGAGAGGATCATGTTGTTTTTGTCCTTGACTTTTTAAATATAGTGTATTACATTTTTTGACTTACATATGTTGAACCATCCTTGCATCCCTGGAATAAATGTCACCTGGTCAGGATGTATGATCTTCTTGATGATCCTCTGTATTTTGTTTTCTAGCATCTCATTAAGGATTTTTGCATCTATATTCAGTAAGGAAATTCGCCTGTAATTCTCTCTTTTAGTTGCATCTTTCCCTGGTTTGGGAATCAAAGTGATACTTGCCTTCAAGAATGAATTTGGAAGTGTTGCTTCCCTTTCAATTTCATTGAAAAGTCTGAAGAGTAATGGCAGTAGTTCTTCTCTGAATGTCTTGTAAAATTTCGCAGTGAATCCATCAGGACCTGGGCTATTTTTTGTTTGTAAATTTTTAGTTACATTTTCAATTTCACTGATTATAATTGGGGTGTTTAAAATGTTTTCATCTTCTTTGTTCAATTTTGGTAATTCATAAGTATCTAGAGAGCTGTCCATTTCTTTTGTGTTTTCCATTTTATTAGAGTATAGGTTCTCAATGTAGGTATTAATGATCCTCTGGATTTATGTTGGATCTGTTGTGTCTTTGCCTTTTCATTCCTGACTGCATGGATCTGTGCCTCTTCTTTCCTTTTTTTTTTTGATAAGATTTGCTAAGGGTTTATCAATTTTATTTATTCTTTCAAAAAACCAACTCTTTGATTCATATATTTTTGTATCATTTTCTTAGTTTCCATTGCATTGATTTCTGCTCTAATCTTTATAATTTCCTCTCTTGTTCAAACTTTGGGTTTTTCTTGCTCTTGTTTTTCTAGTATTCTATGATTCATCATTAGGTTGTTTATTGGAGCTCTCTCTGTTTTCCTTGTGTGGGCATTCAGTGCTATGAATTTTTGCTGTAGAACTGCTTTCATTGTGTCCCATAGATTCCTGTATGTTGTATTGGCATTTTCCTTTATTTGTAAAAACTGTCTAGTTTCTTCTTTAATTTCCTCTGTGGTCCATTTATTGTTCAGGAGAGTGTTGTTCAATTTACATGTGTTTGTGAAGTTCCTACATTTTCTTATGCTATTGATCTCCAGCTTAATTGCACTGTGATAATATACAGGGAATAACTTCAATTCTTTTGCATTTATTCAAACCCATTCTGTGAGCTAGTATGTGGTCTATCTTGGAGAATGACCCATGTGCAGCCAAAATAATGTATATTCTGATTTTGAGAGTGGAACATTCTATAGACCTCTCATAAGTGCATGCGTTGTAAAGGTTGGTTGAGTTGTAGTATTTCATTGTTGAATTTTTGCCTAGATGGTCTGTCTATTTGTGATAGAGGGGTATTTAGATCTCCCACTATAATTGTATTAGTGCTTATTTGGTTTTTCATGTTTCTTAATATTTTTTTATATACTTGGGGGCATTAGTATTTGGTGCATATATGTTTATGATTGTCATCCCTTCCTCTTGAATTGTTCGCTTTACAAAGATCTAGTGGCCTTCTTTGTCTCTCTTGATGTGTTTTGGTTTGAAATTTACTTTGTGAATAAGATTGCTGCCTCTGCTTTTTTCTGGGCTCCTGTCACGTGGAGAATTGTTTTCCACCTTTTCCTTTTCAGTCTATAGGCTTCTTTTTGCACTATGTGCCTTATATACAACATATTGTTGGATTTTGCTTCTTAATCCATTCTGCCAGTGTATTTCTCTTGATTGGTGAATTGAGGCCATTGACGTTGATGGTTATAACTGATATGTACTGACTTATTATTGTCATGTTATTGTCCTTTTGTTGACTCCTCTTACCTTTCCCCCCCTCTCCTTTTAGTTTCTTGTCTTGCCTATTTGATTTGGTCTGTTAGGCTTCATGGTGTTGTGACCTTCATTGTCTTTTTCTAGGATATTGTTTAGAATTCCTTGTAGTGCTGGTTTGGTGTTCATGAAGTTTTTCAGGTGTTCTTTGTCATGGACATATCTTATTTCCCCATCCATTTTGAAAGAGAGCTTTTCAGGATACATGAGTCTAGGTTGGAGTTTGTTTTCTTTTAGGGCTGGAAATACCTCATTCCAGGCTCTCCTTTACCTGAGGATTTGTATTGAAAAGCCTGCTGTGGTTCTGTTGGGCTTATCTTTTCATATGATTTAATTCTTTTTTCTTACTGCTTGTAGCATTTTGTTCTTCTGTTGGGTTTCTGGGATCTTGTTTATTATATTTCTAGGTGTAGAATTTTTTGATTGTGGGTAGTTGGAGTCCTATAAGCCTCACTTACATGTGTGTCAAAATCTTCCCCTCCATTTTGGAAGTTTTCTGTCATGAATTCTGTGAACAGCTTTTTAAAGTCTTTTGCATTTTCTCCTTCTAATTCATGGATTCCTATCAGTCTTATGTTATTCTTCTTTCCATCATCTAGGAGTTGTTGAATCAGTTTCTCTTGATCCCTTACCATTTTTAGGAGACCTCTCTTTTCATGATCACTGTCTGTGATCCTATCTCCTAAATCTGAGATTCTATCTTTGCATTGTTTTATTTTGTTGCACACACTTTTTTAAACTCCTGGATATCTTTTTGAGTCTGTTTAATGGATTACATTTCTTTTCTGTGTTGGGCATTCATTGTTTGCATTTCTTTCTTAGGCTGGGCCTTCATGGATTCTATCATGGTCCTGAGCTCATCTATTTTTTTTGTCCATTTCTGTTGTAGAGTCTTGAATCATGACTTTCATTTTGCTCACCATCTCTATGGTTATCTGGGAAATTATTTCTGTTTTGAATTTTTCTAGAGCCTGATTGATCTGTTTTGTTACTTCCTGTTCTGTGAGTTCTGAGTGTCCTGGTGATTCACTATCAGACTTTTCATCCTCCTTTGCCTTACTGTTTGCCATTGGTGAACTGGAAGTGTGTCTTTGTGTCTTGCTTAAGTGTTTTCTCATTTTTATTTTTGTTGTTGGGTTGTCCTTGATTCAATCTCTGGGTTTTGAAATCTTCCTGATATAGTTGTGTTTTAGCTTTTGATTCTCTAATGACTCATAGACATTCTCATTTTCACAATATGAGTGAAAACAACTCATCAAATCATTCTTTATCCTTTATCCCAATTGATACAATCAGCAACACAATAGGATCAATTACTACTTGCAAATTGACCAAGTGTTAGACATTAATCTATCACCTTTAAACCATGTGAATTTAATTAAAATAAAAAAGCAGCCCAAAATATGCTTGCAGTGAACAAACTTCTCAGCATAGCATATTTACTATTTAGGATGGGGGCCTAGACAGAGTTAGGGTGAGAAGAGTAAATAAGTAAAAAAAACTGGAGAAGTTTTCAAGTGGAGCCAGAGGACACAGAGTGATTACACAATCTTCAGGAAATTCTTAAGCTTAAAAGGGATAGACAGAGTGCAAGTCTAAGGACAAAAATATATCCCCTTAACAGCAATAGGGGCTCACTTTCTCTTGAAACTACTGACCCTTGAGTGAGGCACAATGATAGAAAAAAAGAACATTAATAAAGAAGAAAAAAATGATAAAAGAAGAAATCTGAGTCAGGGAAGAAGAAGGAACAGAATAGGAGATGGGGGACAATATGGTGGAGCAAGAGACTGACTTGGCCAAAGCGGACAGAAAAAATTTTACAGAGTGGAATGAGGAAAAGAATGAAAAGGAAAAAAAATGACTTTGAAGGCCCTCTTTGAGACTATATCTCTGCTGTAATAATACACATCATGTGTAGCCATGTGTAGAACCAAATCCTCCTAACTCAGCTAGCTGATGGCAGACTCCAGCGATGCAGACTGACCTCAGACCACAAGGCCAAAATTGAGCTCCCCAACCTCCTGCAGGGTTGATCTCCAGACAGTTCTACTACAGGTTTCCCCTACCCTTTCTTTAAAGATGTTCAAATTTGGGAGCTCAGAAAATTACCCTTTATAACCAGCTATACCTCTGCAGAGTGGGTTCATGGAGTGGCACAATGAGGAGGTCTGAGAGTGGGGTGGGGCTACCTCCTGGTGCTGGAGCAGCAATAGCAGTGCCTACAGGGGAGGGCTTGGCAACCTGGTCCCGCAGGCTGGACCCTGGCAGGGTGGAGGGATATCTCCTGTCCTATTTATTTTTTCTTCTTTCTCCTTCCTTACCCTGTTCATTACCCTCGTTCCTTTAGCTAAATATGGGATGTTTTATCTTAACTAGGAAAGAAAGATCTTTTAAGCTTTGACTCTGCCTCATCACTGTCCCCAGTTCAATGTCAACAAAGGCATCTACTAACTCTCTTATGGATGAGTTTCAACAGAGAGAGCATCTGTTTGGCTTTCAGCATGCAGAAGATAAGGTGGCACACTGGGTAGACTTGGACCTGGCTATCACTGTGACCCCTTTCTGTGTCTCTTTGGATTTCCTCCTTCCTCTACTAGCAAATAGGGAAAACTTCCAGGAGGTTTGTCCAAGTATCAACAGTATTTCTCCAAGAGACCTTTTTCTGTCTAAGGATAAAGTAGATGAGATTTCTATCCTCACCTTGTTTAAAACCTTGTGCTAAGGTCTGAAGAAGGCCAGATATTGAGGCTTTCAGAGAATTTTTGAAAGGGGTGGGTGGGGTAACCTCCAGCCCAAAAAACATGAAGCTGAGCCAAATGTTAGGATCTTGTAATAGCTGTTGCTGCAGAGAGAATAGGGAGCCTGGCCTTGCAGCCCAAAGCCCCTGAGCTGATTTGGACCCAAACCTGTTGGGCAGTTCTCTCTCTACTCCTTGTTTTGGCTCCAGATTTCAGCTCCATCCCTGAGTGGTGTTATGGGTAGAGGGCACCTGTGCTGACCTCCTTCTCTGTTTTCCCTCCTTTCTGTGGTCTAATTCCTTGGCTAGCATTTTGCCCCTCCCAATCTCAACAGACTGTCACTATCTGCTGCCTGACACAGCCGCAGATCCAATCTCTCACTTCTGGCCAGTCTCAGCATCTTTCTTGTTTAAAATGTTCTCATTTTCTCCAATTTATCTATATTCTATCAGTATCTTCAGAGCTCAGTTCAAATCCCTCTTCCTCTGAGTAGTCTGCTTTGACAACTCTGGCCTAGGGTTATCATTTGCTTTCATATACTTGAACTGTGTGGGCCACATATTTCTCTTCTTTTTTTTTTTAATGTCAGCAAGTTTAAGAGATCTGTCTTGCTTTGACAACTCTGGCCTAGGGTTATCATTTGCTTTCATATACTTGAACTGTGTGGGCCACACATTTCTCTTCTTTTTTTTTTTTAATGTCAGCAAGTTTAAGAGATCTGTCTCTTTCTTCTTTTTTTTCAGCTTTAATTGAGTTTATTGGTACATTTTAGGGATACAGTACAGTTACATTCATTGTTGGGATCTTGTACCTCTACATGACAGGTCTTGGTTCTCATTTTTTCCCCTTGTCCCTGCCCTCCCTTCCCCCCCTCCTCTCCTCCCCATCTACAAACACTTTATTTCCATCTTTTCATTATCTAACTTTTTTCTTTTCCCTTATTACCCTTCCCCTATCCATTCCACCTTCCCTACACCTTTAGACGCTTTCTTCCCATTTCACAATGTCAGTAATCTTATTAGGATCTTATGTATTATTATAGCTTATTCACACTAGAGAAACTATTTGGTATTTATACATGTGTGACTTATTTATTTATCTTAGGAGTATATCTTCAATATGTATCCATTTTCCTATGAATGAATCTATTTTCTCATTCTTTATGGCTGAGTAATATTGCATTTTATAGAAAAAAACACATCTTCTTTATCTACTTTCCAACTGATGGACAAATGGGCTGTTTCCAAGTTTTAGCTATTAGAAACTGTGACACTATAAACATGGGTGCACATATATCACTGTGATATGATTCTTTTAGTTCCACGTATATCTTCAAAGAACTTTTTATGCACAGGCCTGTGCCTTCTTTTCCTACTAAGCCTGTGGACTTCTCCCATCCTTCATGTGCATGCATCTTGTGTCACATCTTCCAAAGTTACCCAAATAGAAAGGAAACTCATAATCACCTTTGTCTCTTTTGTGGCCCTTGTGCAGGCCCTTGGATGGCTAGCCCTTTATGTGATAAAGAAGGGAGAGATTCCTTTTGAGAAGCTGAAGGCTCGAAGTAATGAACAGGTGCTTCGACTTTCTCCAGATGAGGAAACTAAGGACCTCATTCATCACTTGTTCTTCCCTGGGGAAAATGCAAGAGACTATCTGAACAACCTTCTGGGTCATCCCTTCTTTTGGACTTGGGAGAAGTAAGTAAAACCTGAGTGTATATCACAGGGATCCAAAAGGGAGAGTGAGGTAGTGAGGATGAGGGCTGAGAATTAGCCAGTCCAGGACTTTCTTTCAGCCTGACATACTCTGGCTGTGTATCTGTGGAGAGGTGATTTAGCTTCCTGTTTCTGGCTTCCTCTTCTGAAGAATAGGAGCAAAGAAAGGTTGGATGCCTTTCTATCATGAAGAATTTTTGAAAAGCTTTACTATTTTTCTTAGAAATTAAAATCTATCAGTTTTCTGTTTCTGCAAAGAGTTGAAAGAACAAAATAACCATAATTCTGTCATCTTCAGCCGCTATAGGACACTTCGGAATGTAGGAAATGAAAATGACATCAAAGTGAGAAACTCTGATGGTGACATCCTCAAACTGCTACAACCTGAGTCATCTGAATGTTCCAGAAGTTTTGATAAGTGGAAAGATAAGGTATAAACAATCACTTTGCCCTAGGAGTTATTCCAGAAATGAGTTTGTATGATGTTTTATATTAGTTTTTCTAACTTCTTTTATACCATTGGTTTGTTCCAGCTAGGAAGGCAAAAAGATGATTTTCTTTCTGTTCCTCTCCTTCCCAGACCCCCTTAGAAATTTTGGGTCTCTGGGCTTCCTTTCAGAAAGTTCCGTTTCTCCTAGACCCAAGTTTCCTTATAGAGTCTTATTCAGGCTTCTCCTTCAGGCCTTCACCATGAATCTTTCCTCCTGGCCATTATGACCAGCATATGGAACTAAACAGAACCTAGTCTAGGGAAGGTGCTCCACCATGCAACATTTCAACATCAGAAGAGTTAGGCTAACCCTGTCACCTGTGGATCCACAGCTCTAAGGATCCACATGCCTGCCTATATTGTCCCTTGAGAAAACACTATGAAGAAAAGATGATCTTTCATGAAAAAATTTTCAAGAGAATTTCCACCTAACTTGATCTAAGTATAGTGAAACTAGAAAATTTATCTCCATCTCTAGTCTTTAGTATCAGAAATTTTATCATTATTAATTTAAAAATATCTACAAAATATCAGTCATATGGTAGGCCAGTATGAAGCCTGGTCACATAAAGCAGAAAATATATAGTGTCTATGGGGCTGAGAGACCCACAAAAACAATTCTGGGTGATGTGTGCTGGGTACCCTGAGGACATGTATGAAGAACTATGGAATAATCCACATCTTCAGTTTTTGTTTTGTTTTTTTACTTCAATCAACAACTTTCTATTCTATGTCTCTTCCAAAACCTCTTTCTTCTGGTTCCTGTTTATTTCCTTCCCTAGTTGGTCTCTATTCTATTTCTCACACTTATAATGCTGGCTTAATGTCTGTTTGCTTAGCTAGCCTGTAAATTCCACAAATATCTATAAAACTTCAGCTCACTATTAAACTTTGGAAAGAGAAATTTGAAATTAGAGCAGCTGGTAATAGATAATGATTCTGTAGTGCTAAATGGCAGTCATAGTTTTCAGGAATTTATACATGTTACCACATTCAGTCCTCAAACAGCCTCTAAGGTAATTATCTGTTTGTAGATTGGTAAGCTTAGGCACAGAAGAATAATTTTTCCAAAGGCACAGAGCCAGGAAAGGGTGTGGCAGGATTTGAAGCTGGGAGGAACGGCTGCAGAGGCCATGTGCTTAGGCCACTGTACTACACAAAAGCCACAGTGCTGTCAACTCCATCAACTCATTTAATTTCAGAGGAAATTGAGGCTCAGAGATGGTATCTATAGTACCAGAGATACCAGAGTACCAAAGGTCACCCAGAGATTAACAAAACTGGGCAGAAAAAATCTGTTCTTTTGTTTCCCAACTCATTGCATGTTTCCTCCTGTTTCAATGACATATTGAATTTTGATTGACTTCAAGCTTTACCTTTTAATATCCATCTTAGATTGTGTTTTTCTGTTGATGTTAGTGACTTACCCATTTTTGTGGTCAGTTTGGTTTCAGCAGAATAGGTGTATGATCTAAGTTTTCCAAGGTATACTACTGTGGTTATCACTGTTCATGGTGTGTGTTCCAGGCAGTCTCAGCAGCAACCCCACTGGGGTTGGTCCAGGCACCAGTTCCTCTTCCTAAGTGACTCTGGCTTCTTGGCAATATGTTAACTTGGCATCCTGTTCTCCTACTCTAAGCTCTTTCCAAATATGGGGTCCTCCTACAAGGGTGACAAGCAAAAGAAAGAGTAAGGCATTAATATGAAGGAAGTTGTCCTGGGATACTAGAGGAGAGGAGAAATAAGTAACCTGTTGAAAATATGTTTAAACAAAAATAAACAAAAGCCAAACTACACTTACCAATTGTTACCATGGCAGGTTTCCTCCTGAACAAGCCTCTTTAAAGAGGAAATTATTGTAATCAAGTGTGAATTTGAAAAGATAAAAATTGTATAGCATAATGAATAAATTTCCTAGTATAGGAATTAAAAAAACCTTTTAAATTGAAGATATACTCCTAAGTGAAATAAATGAGGCACACATGTGTAAATACCAAATAGTTTCTCTAGTGTGAATAATCTGCAATAATACAGAAGATCCTAATAAGATTACTGACACTGAGAAGTGGGAAGAAAGGAGCTAAAGGTGTAGGGAGTATGGGACAAGTAGGGGAAGGGTAAAAAGGGAAAAGAAAAAAATGTGAGATAATGAAAAGATGGAAATAAAGTGGTTGTAGATGCAGAGGGGAGGAGGGGGTGAAGGGAGGGCAGGGACAAGGGGAAAAAATGAGAACCAAGACTTGTCATGTAGAGGTACAAGATCCCAACAATGAATGTAACTGTACTGTATCCCTAAAATGTACCAATAAACTCAATTAAAGCTGAAAAAAAAAAAGAAATCTAATTTCTTATGGAAGGAGTTCACTGGTAAATATAGACACAGATTTAAAGTTATGTATAATCCTGCATTCAAGCACAATTATAATTAGCATTATGGTAGGTTACACTTACTTTCAGTCTTTCTGTTTTAGTTATGAGTTGAGTAGCATATATTTAAATTTGTATCTTGCCTTTTGGTAATAACATGCCATCAGATTTATTTTATGTTACCACCACATTTATGTTCAATATCTTATTTTTTAGATTGATGAATTCCTTATGGAAAAAATGGATAGCTTCTATAAAAAAAGTGGCAATTTTTACCAGAACACTGTGGGTGATCTGCTGAAGTTCATCCGGAATATCGGAGAGCATATTGATGAGGAAAAAAATAAATGGTAAATATTATTTTCATTTTGTAAATCACATGTGAAATGAGAACAATTTAAACATCTAGCCCCCAATACATATTTGTGCAGAAAGAAGTTATTTTGATAAAAGAAGAGCAGTTTTTCCTCTCTGTTGAGTAAAGGTTATCACTGTGGCCCTACAATTAATTATGGACAAGGCTGGATGGCGCTTGTCTTACTTTTTACTTTTTGCAGAAGCTAGTGATTTCTTGTGTGAGTAACCCAGGAGATCAGACAGCTGGATAAAAAAAATGCTGCATTAACAGAAGTAAAACAACAACCCTATGTTGGTTAAATCAGCTTTTGATGCCAAAAATGATAGCTAAACATGATAGTGCACACACACACACACACACACACACACACACACACACAGCTTTTTGGTTCAGGGCTCTTTTGAATTTGAAGTTTGTACACAAGAGATTGTAAAACTGTATTCCTTCTGTTTTACGAATGAAAAAGTTGAAGTTCAGAAAAATTAAGTGGCCAACATTTGCAGAGTTACTAAGGAATTAAACAAAAGATCTTGCTCTATTAGATCCCCAGGTCCTTATTCATTTTGCAGTAGAAATTAAGAAAGAGTAGGGGATGAAGGGAGGACAGGGACAAGGGGAAAAATGAGAAGCAAGATCTGTCACATAAAGGTACAATATCCCAATGATGAATATAACTGTACTGTATACCTAAAATGTACCAATAAACTCAATAAGAAAAAAAAAAAGAAATCAATAAAGAGTTGTAAACCCTTGGGTCATATTCTTGAAGGATGGGGTGCTTGGGGCAAGTATGCTTAACCATTCATGTTTTCATTTTCAGGATAAAGAAAATAATTGGAGACCCTTCCCATTATTTTCAGAAGACATTTCCAGATTTGGTGATTTATGTCTATACAAAACTGCAGAACACAGAATACAAAAAGCACTTTCCCCAAATCTATAATCCATCCAACCTGCAGTGTGACCAAGGCATTCAGAACAGCAGGTTGGCTGGATCAGAGTGCTGACTGAGTCTTTCATGTTCAAGTTGCCACTTAGAAGTTGTGTGGTTCCTGGCAAGTCACAAACCTCTGACCTCTTAACTGACCCATTCATTGCCCATGAGGGATGAGCTGGATGCCTGATATGTCAGTTTCTATCACAGTGCACTCCACTCAACTGCTTTAGCCCCCAAACTGCTTTAGTTCATTTTATTTTATTATTTTTTTTGAGTCAGAGTCTCACTATGTAGTTCAGGCTGGCCTTGAACTCAATGTAACTTGATCTCAGGCTAGCCTCCAACTTGTGGCAATCCTCCTGCCTCAGTCTTCCAAGTGCTGGGATTACTAGCATGTGCCACCACACCCAGCTCTGCTTTAGTTCATTTTAGGGGGTAAAATTTATGGGCAGGAAGTGGGAAGGTGCCCTGAGATTCTTCCTATCAATGACACCAAAGGAGAATGCTAAGTCTTCTAAGCTGTTATCTCATTTAATTTTCCCAATGACCTTGTAAAACAGAATTTATTACCCCCATTTAAGAACTCTAGTCTCACACAGTTTGAGCTACTTGGGCTGGATTATACAGTTTGTACCAAGAACTGTATAAATGGATCCTAGTGTTCCTTTCACTTGGGCATTTAAAAAACTTAAATTAACAGCCCAGAGCTCTTTTGATAAGACTAAGAGCAATATGCCAAAGGGGTTCCAGGAGATTTGTTCATTCATTCATTCAGTATTTGTTGAGCACCATTGTAAGTCTAGGTACTATTTGCATGAATTCCATTCCTCCTAGAAGTACCTGCACTGGTTTTCTATGACTTAACAGCAGAAGTTCTCTACTGGGGTCAAGTTAGCTTCTCAGAGATCATGCGGTAATGTCTGAAGAAATTTCTGATGTCACAGTTGGATAGAGGCAGACTCCACTGGCATTTAGTAGGTAGAGTTACTCTGCAACATACTAGACAGCCCTATAACACAAAGTTATTCAGAGCAAAATACCAGTGGTGCCAGGTTGAGAAAGCCTGCTTTGAAGGTCTGGGACACTTTTGAACTGCTTGGGCCCAGGACTATGTGGACCACTTTATAGAGCAGTGACACATATTTATGTTGTTGCTGCTGAATCTGTAATTTTAGTAGGCTCTTCTAGTGTGGGCAACTCAGGTAGTCCTCCTCCATCCTCACTTCCATACTCCATTCTGACACCAAAGGCCAAATCACCATCTGCTTCTCTCCACTTTGCATCTTTGATTTCCTCATGGGTATTGAAGCTTCTTTCTAGGGTCAATGACTAATTTTGAATTTGTATCATTATTGCTTAGCAAAATGTCTGTCTTATGGTCATGCTTCATAAATATTCATTGAATAATAAATAAGCTATCATTGTTCCTGAATAATACAACCTTACATTTTTATGGTGCTTTATCTGTTATGCATCACACCTGCATATTATTATATTATTTGCTTTTCAAAGCAATCCTGTAAGATAAGCATGCTGATACTCATTTTGGTGATGAAGAAAATAAGATTAGGAGTGTTTTGATTTATTTTAGAACATATAGCTAGTAAGTATTACTCTCTTGATTTAAATAGTTGTTCTGATGGTTAGTTTGAGGTTTCTATTTTTAATGGTGATTAAGATGCAGCTTTGGAATATGAACAAAATAGTATCTAAGGTTCTTTTTGAAAATGAGATGTCTAGTAATGGATAAATGGTTGTCACTGAATGAAATTAAGATGTACTGAAAGAAATAAACTGAAGGATTTTAAAAAATGGTTTTATGAACAGCAAGAGTGCTTTAGGCTTTACAGTTAAGCTTTGAGTGTTCAATTTGTAGTGAATACTTGGACATGTCAATAAAAATACCCATCAGGGAAGTATACTCAATAAAATTTTGAATCATCTTACTAAGTCTCATTTTCTTTGAATGACAGTTCCACTTTACAGATTAGTGATATCTATAGAAAATACTAAATGAAAAATTTGAGGTAAGTTTTTTTTGTTTTGTTTTTGAAAGGGGTCGCACATGCCCCTTTGGGCGCCCCCTCCCAATCCGGTCACTCATTCTCCGAGAGGTCTGGCAGGAGATCTTTATTGAAGGGAGTCAGGTGAGGCACAAAGGCTGGGAGGCAAAGAAAAGGAGAAGGGTTACCAAGGGAAGAAGTGTTGGCTCATTTATAGGGTCTTGGGTGGGAGTTCTGCAATTTTAGGGGAATTAGCTGTTTTTTAACCTATTGCAGGCCACATTGCCTTATAAGGTCTTAGTCATGCAGGAGTCCCTTATCAGATGTTGGCATCATTTCTGGGAAGAATTCAACTCGGGGAGGAAAACAAAACTTAAGTTGGGAAAATGAAACTTAGGTTGGGAAAACGAAACTTAAATTAGGAAGAACCCGGAAGTCAGGTATAAAATGGTGGAGTTTAAAGTAACATGTACAATTTCCTAACATTCCCCACTCTTTGATTTTGGTTGATGACTGGCAACCAACATGTCCATTGGCAGGTGGAAAAGGGGCGGAGTGTCTGTCTTCTGTAACTACTTCCTGTGGAGTTCCGGCGACGAGTCGATCCAAGGGCAGGGGTTAGCCTCATGTCTTTTTGGCTGCGCTGTCATTGTGTGAGATGAACTGAAGGTCATTGAAATTTTACCTGTAAGATAAAATCTTAAACACACAGGTTGGTCAGCAGGGAAGGGAACTGAGGCAGGATCTAAATAGAGGGGAGAGTCCAGAAACTGTGGTGAATCATTTTCAGAAATAATGAAAAGTAAAAGAAAAGTGAAAATCTCAATTTCAGCTGGCGTGAACTGACAAAGGGATCCCTGGAGCCAGGCCTCAGAGACCCAAATGGTTACCTGTAGGACCAGACAAGGGTGTGGAGTCATCCAACATAGATTGGGGAGCAGATTTTCTAGGAACTCTCTGAACCTGGTGGAGATCCAGATGGACGGTTGGTTCTGGAGGGTGGCTTCCATATGAAGGAAGTTTCGACGGTGTTTGGGTTTTGTGTTCTTGGTATCAGCTGATGAGCCATTTGTGTGGAGACCTGGGTGGAGAGCTGGTTAGTGTCCCTGTCTTCAGCAGGGATGTGTTGGTACTGTTGACGGAGTACCATAAGTCTGACTACACTTATTCTCTGTTGAATGAAAGCAGTCAGTCTGTTAATTATTTATGGTCCCACTATCAATAGAATTAAGATCAGAATTAAAGGACCAGCCAAAGCTGACAGTAGTGATGTGAGCCAAGGAGATGAGGCAAACCAGTTTTCATACCATCCCTGAGATTGTGTCCTTTCTTTTTTCCATTTTTCTAGGCCTTCTCTGACCTTGGCCATGGAGTCGCTTACAATTCCAGAATGATCAGTATAATAACAACATTCTTCTCCTAGAGCAGCACACATCCCCCCTTGCTGTTGGAATATGAAATCCATCCCTCTTTTGATCTGAAGAGTTACTTCTGCCAAATAACTCAGGGATTCTTGCAGCTTAGTGATTGACAGCTCTATTCTCTCTATATCTTGATCAATTGCTATCTGCAAACCATTGTATTGCTGATGTTATGTGATGAGAGCAGCTGTTCTAGTACTGGCTCCTGCAACGCCCATCCCCAGTAATATTGCTAGGGTTATGGCTGTTACTGGATCTCTTTTAACCCTTTTTATATCATTCCATTCATCTAGGAAGTTGTTATATTCATGATAGAGTATCCGGGGCATTAGGTCAATCAAGACACAGTAATCTTTAGATTGTGCTAATATTTGTCCATTCACACAAGGGGTCAAACCAGAGGAGCACGCCCACCATCCATTACTGGAGGGGACATAATATGCAGTGGCATTAACAGGATAGGTTTTATTACAGAGATATTCATATGAACTAGGAACAATACCTATGCAGGTACCAGAGCCCCGAATAGATGTGAGAGTGACTTGTCCCATTGTTCCTTTTCCCCATCTGCAACAGGTATAATGGGGAGACAGGGTGAAGGTGGCTTGGGATCCAATTCCCTCATAATATGGAGGTTTTATATCATAACATAGCCAGCAGTTTGTAGTGATTTCAGGCCTAGTATCATTAAGTACTGAAAAAGCTTGTTCCATAATTTTAAACAAGGGATCAGAGGAATTGGGATCTTGGGATGGTTGAGTCTGTCTATTATCTGTCACTGGGCTGGAAGTAGTGACCCATCTCTGGGTAGGTCTATGGCCAATTTTTAACTCAGGTTTTGGGGTTGGTTTTGACTTAGAGACTGGCTTAAGAGTTGGTGGTGTATCAATCTTGATAGTTTGGCGAATGCCAAACAGGAGTCCTTGGTCATAGCCTTTTGTGTATATTCTTAGTCCCCATTGTTTTCCTATTTTCCATTCTTCTAAGGGTACCTGTTTTCCCAAATTGTTGAAGGATATTAATATGGGGTTGCATCGGAACTTGTTGCATTGTGAATAATGATAATGTTGTGAAAAATGGACAGATCCTATTTTATTGAGCGTTTGAGGCTTTTGAGTGACTGATATAAAATCTGTTTTTACACCAGCCGAGTGTCCTGGTATGGTGCTGGATGATTCGCAACCCCATGTCTTACAATAAAAATCACTTTGTCCCCCACAGCCTGTTTTACCTTTTATATGTTTTGGGCAAACATATATGGGCTGATCTAAAAGCTTTGATCTGGAATATTTATGAGCACATCCTGGTCCTTCATTATAGTCCTAATTACAGTGCCCTCTGCACCTGGGCACACCCTCTGAATCATATTCCCAATCAGCTACATCCCATGTGCTTCCTAGGGCCATATCACACAAATCTAATTCAAGAGGTGGCCACCAAATGGTTGGGGGAGTCCATTTAGACACTGAACTTATTATTTTACCAGTTGAGGGATTAATTATCATCCAAGTAACTTTTACAGGTTGATGAGGACTTAACTTTTCAGACAGGCAAATCATAATAGAATGAAACATAGCAATCATAGATATATATCTATGGGGTCTCTTTTCCACTGTTATATATAAATCTAACCTATTTTAAGCAGGCAAGGAAGGCAAACACACTGACAATCAAATAGTAAGTTAGCATCAATATTATTCTATGTCTTAATGTAAAATCTGAAGGAGCTGCAGAAGCTAAGCCTATCCCCAGAAGTATTCCACTGAGAACTACCAGGAGAAAGCTTAACACATTGAACAGGGATGTAACGGTGAATACTTTACAGTATCCCATGGAAGCACTTAGGTGTTTTGGGTGCTGGAGATCTCTTGTGTGCCCAAATTTA